GTGTACCCTGCCCTTGTGCCCTGCGATGGACTGGCATCCAATCCTGGGTGTACCCTGCCCTTGTGCCCTGCGATGGACTGGCATCCCATCCTGGGTGTACCCTGTCTTGTGCCCTGTGCTGCCTGGGACAGGCTTTAGGCTCCACCTTCCCCCATCCAGGATAAACGGTTGGAAGATGGATGAATGCCAGCATATTTCCTGCCCCCAAACTGTCATTTTTTGACCATGTTTGGGAATTACTTTACACTTGCAATTCAAACGATGTGCAGGTTATTACCCAAGAGCAATCAAGGACAGATGTGTGCCAGAGGTGAAAATCAGAAAACGTAGTCAGGACTGAGACCTGTGCAAATCTGGCACTACTGCCTGAGTTATAGATCACTCAGTCCAACACCTACCCGATGAAATTAAGCTTTATGTGCCATTTGTACAAGTGCATTGGAAAGTGACATTTGAAGGAACACACACACATACACAGAGGTGAAAGTGAAATGAAGAGCTGGATAGTCAGCTGTCTATCCAGCACTGCTGGAACATCTTTCAGGCAGGTAAGGACCTTGCTAAAGGGCCCAACAGAGATGCAGCTACTTTACCGAGCACGAGATTCTAAGCGGCGACCTTCCGATCACAGGCACAGAGGTCAAACCCGCTGAGCAACACACCGCCCCCAAGAACTGTGAGGAGAACTAGGCAGGAAGCCAGATGGATTAGACTTCTAGCGTTAATAATCTTCATATGGAATTATTCTTAACTATGTATTTCCTGGGTAGGATGGTGTGGTAGCTTCATAGATAGCCATGTTGCTTTGTACCTCCAGAGTTGGGGGTTTGAATCATGCCCCCTACTGGGCAACTACTGAATTGCAGTTGTGTGTTCTCTGGGATGAACTGGGATCTTATTTAGGGTGACCTTGTTTCCACTGGTTAGACCTGGTGAGACATGCTTCAGGATTTCCTGCAACTCTCTATGGTAACAGGAATATGATTGGTGACTGGAATCTTGATGGTGAATCTGTTCCGTTCATTAAACTGCAATTGTCTTGCCTTATATTTGCTGAATGTAGAGATCTCACATTTCCTTTACAATGGCTGTATGTTTTCAGAATATGTCCAGTAAAAGGGAGGATCAAGTAAAAAGTGTATGATGCAATCTATAGTCAAATTCTTCTTTGTGTAAACTGCAGCCACCTTGACCCTTAGTGATAAAAACAAGTGGAAAAAAATAAGTGTTACATCATACAAGGTTCGTAGACATTATAGGCGGGGCTTGGCAACTCGTGACGTCACATATGGGGTGTGGCTTAAGAACACAATAAGTGGGTGTGTCCGTCCTGGATGTATCCTTCTCCCACGATAACAGGAAGTAGCCCATACATATTCAGATAGTATTTACGTTAAAATATTGGAAAGAAATGTTTAATTAAAGAGAACATTTGGAAAAAAGAGCTGTTATAAAGTATCATTAAGCGTGGGCCTCCAGTAACACCCAGCAAATTAAAAATATAATGAAATAATGCATATTTATAATGCAACCAATTAAATTTTGGTGAAATCTTGTTGAACATCGTGACACTGGTAGACGTCAGACAAATGAACGAGTGCTTGATGGATGGAACCGATTAAAGTCAAGGTACCTGTGGAGAATTCAATCGGCACATTGAGGCAGGGCTGTCAGCTGCTCCTTGTACTGGAACGCGGTAATTTCCCCCTTTGTTGCACCGTTTTTGTGCGTTTTCAACCTGGTAATCATCTCCTTAACAACGCCCTTGACGAATCCCGCCGAAGGCTGGCCGGTCTGCCCACGGCACGACAACCGGAGGAAATAAGCCCAGCCTACTGCCCAATTTGAAAGGGAGATTTTCAATAAAGGGGGAAAGTGCTCAGTACGGCAGAACAGGCCTTTTTCCGGTCTGTTCTGTTGCAGTAGCCAAACATGGTAGTTTTCTAGGCATGAGCCTTAAAGACCATAAGAAAAGAAACTGGCTGAATGAGAAAACATTCTAGCACACATCAGAGCTGATTGAAATAAAATGGCATTTATAAGAAACCAAAAAGTCTCGAAATTTTCCGAAAGAGACATTTTAAACCATTCACCATGCATATAACACTGCGTGTTCGGCTGGAAGAATTTAATTTCGTCTTTGTTCTTGTGGCACATAATCAGCGTGTTCTTTCCCCCCTTTCGGATTTCTTGCATAAAACTGAATATGATTAGTTTAGAACCATAGTCTGGTTAAAGATTAAAAGGAAATGATAGAAATGAGATAAATGAAAATGATTACATCCCGTCCAGGCTGTTGCCCCGCCGTGTAGGATGCCGTGGGATCGACATCAGGCCCCGCGCAGTCCTGACCAGAATACGCGGTTAGAAGATGGATGGATGATGGATGGATAATTCCATGCAGAACGCAGAAGTAAGGAATAATGTGAAAAGACAATTAATGTCAAAGCCTACTTGGATTTCGTTTTTTTTAACGTATTTCAGCTCTTTGAAAAACTCCTCATGATGGACTGAGCGGCAGACAGCGCCACATCGCAGCAGCCACCCGCAGGAAAGTGCGGCACGTAGGGATTAAGGATGGACACTTACAGCATGTCAAACTGTAGGGGGTGTCAGACACTTTAATTCCCCCTTTAACCCTCCCCCCTAAAGCCTTTTAATATAACTAGGATATTCCATGTAAAATGTTTTATATATCGCTTTCGTGTTTCATATTTTAGGTTTTAACAAACGGTTAAATGGATTTTGTCTCTCTAGCAAAAATGCCTTAGGTTATTTTTCTTTGCAGTGTGCCATAAAACAATAATTACATCTCGCAACAGACCGTAATAATGGGCTTGGTTATGTGCATATATGGAAATGCGCTGCGCTTCCGACGCTAACATTAAGTAAGTATTAATCTCGTGAGGTTATTGTTACTGTGGCTATTGTGACAGTAATAGGGGTAAGTGGAGGATGAGCCATGAGCTGCGGGGGGAGAAGTCGTGGGTCCCCCATATCCTGCTTGACATAAGTGATACTGGAGCTTGTGCCAGAGCCGGCTGGCAAAGCTGCATGGGGGGGCTGGTCCCTGTGGGGAAACGGAAGGCCATTTCTAAGCTGGAAGGTGGAGCGCAAGGCAAGGAGCTGAGCTCTCTGTGTGTCGGTCAGTCTGCTTGGAAAGCAAAGGACGATGAGTTGTATGCGTGTGTGTCTGCTTCTTATGCTAATCAAATTTTTAAATATTGTCTGGTCCTTATAAGGTGTGACAATCAGACAAGAGCAGTCATAAAAGCTGTGGAAAATAAAAATAACTAGTAAAATTAGATACAACAACTCATAAATCGAAATCAGTATATAATATGTAGTAAATAAAAAGCTGAATATTCGGACCAAAATCACAATTCTGTGAATTGAACAATGCCCCCGACAAACCTTATCACAACCGTCCAGGATTTGCACCCTTCTCTTCAAGTATGATGCCGATATTAACATATCGAATAGTTGCACCTCAAGCATTACACGTAGTTGTTAAGGGTAGGCTTATGCAGGGGTTATAGTTACAGTAAGTCCGCACGTTTCAAAAACAGGAAAGAGAAACTTGCTCCGGAAAAACACACCTTGATCAGTTTCTTTCCTTCTATCACTCCCATCAGTTCCCTGTCTGCGTGCCCCTCTTCCCTCGCTGGAGACACAACAGGTTTCCCTGTTCCCCCTTTCCGCGCTGCTCCGCGCTGCTCCGCGCGGGAGCCCACGCGCGCCCCGAGAGCACGATCGCAATTCCCGACTCCTAATGGCTCTGAGTCAGAAAGGCACCCTGCTTCGCGACACAGGACTGTTTGCAGGGATAAAACAAGGTGTCGGAAAATAATAATTTGCCCATCAGTTAAATCCACGTTAGCCTAAATATAAACATTCTTAATGTATTTTTTAAAACGCTCATCCAATCAATCTATGGAGTATTTAGTAAAAAACACAAGTAAACAGTTTGTTCAGTTATTTTCTAAATGATTAACGACATAACAACATAAGTGTTTATTGTCATCTACCTCATAGCAAATACCGATATACTCTCAGTCACCTAAATAATAAATGTAACCACCAGCACTGTATGTATGTGTGTGTGTCTACATACAAACATACATACACAAACACGCACACACACACACACACACACACTGTATATTTATATATCATGTATATTTGTCCCCGGACACATCTTGTGAGTGTGGAATTGACATAGGCGCATATATATATATATATATATATATATATATATATATATATATATATATATATATATACACACACACACACATACACACACACACGCACACACACATCAAATCCACACTCGCAGGTTGTGGAGACCGGGGAAACAGCAAGCGCGTGCTCCTGAATTTCATCAATTTCATGTACTACCACACGCTGTTGTTAAATTTATATTAATGTAATTGATATACATTCATGCAAAGCCAGTAAAAGTCACATTACGATCTTTCTCGTTATCAGCAATCGCGAACAGTCTTATTTATTCTCTTACTTGTGGTGTCTGCGCGAAGAACTCCGGAGAATGCGCTCCGCACCACGCCGGACCTGATAAAAGCTGAATATCCAAGAGAAAAGTGGAGGTGCGAGTTATTCACTTCAGCATCTCGGAATCCAACAGCCACTTAAGGAAACGATGATTCTAACTTTGTTTTCCCCACACCTTCCTTCCGAGTCACACATTTCGCTCTACACACCCATTCCTACATCCCTCCCCGTCTTTCTCGCCTGCTCCTTCAATCTCCCTCGTTCTCGCAAGTGGTCCTAGCGATTCCTCGTTACCCGTGGCAACCAGTTGCTATAGCGATTTCATTTAGTGTTGTGATGATGATGACTTTTTGATTATAAAACTAACGCCTTCAAGACACGAACCGAACACCGCTTTTAAACCGAGATTACGCGACTTCAGTGGTCTATTTGTGAAAAGTATTCGGCAGACCGATATGCATAAAAAACATCTTTCTGGACAACTATGCGATTCACTCCCAAATGAAAAAAAACGAGAAAGTGTTATTTTTCATTGCAATACGTATGTTTCAGCGAATTATGTCCAGTCATCCAGGTCTTATCTCATTAACCGGTTCAGGATGATCATAAGAGGAGCCCTGCAGGGCCATGCTCAGCATGTTTCCTCATTTAAGGGTATTGTGTTAGAAAGTTCGAGATAAAATATGGAAAAACCGCTCTCACCCTGCCTATGCAGCCGTGAACATAGCCTAATTAACCGTATCGGATATGTCTAACCCCGAAAGACCACGAGTGCAAGACAATATAAAACCTTTCGCTGTCTATACAGAGGGCTGGGTGCGGTTTTAGAGAAACGGGGCTGCAGCGAAGACCACAGTTGCAAAGTTGCAAACAATGCACGCTGAAATACGTGTCTGCCTCGGCTGCGGAGCAGCAGGAGCTACACCCGACACACAGCACGGTTATATGATGTCTGAGAGAGTCCTTTAGTACGTAGTGTTCAAATGAACTCGATCAGAGTTCATTTAACTCCTGCAATTTTACTGCATATGGGCTATAATGTTAATGACCAATGGGTACGCTTCATGTCTTATGAGGTAAACTAAAGGTCAAAGCTGAGTCTTTGAGCAAAGCATTAATGTTACTCGTGAGGGAAGCAGCGTCAGCTCTCAGCACTGCCTCTGAACCAGCGTCCCCAAGTTAGAAGATGGAACTCCCTCTGACTCTATTATAGTGGTGTCCCGGATCTATATGAAGTCTCTTATGTCAAAACCTATTCAATGGTGCAGACAATCCATTAACTATAATGTGCAGTTTTTGCGCACAGAAGACTTAACTGTTTAGTTACTAGTCTGTATCTTTAATTGCGAGACACCTCGCTGCCCGCAATTTGCTAAAATCTTAAGTGTCATTTGTTAAAATGTAATAGGTAGCCTATCTTACTCTGACCCTAGCCATAACTGTACTTGTCCAGAGGTAGAATATTATTTTTGGTTAAATGTGCGTGAGGTATGTGAACTATGAGAGGCAGCTTGTGCCCACAGAGGATCCCTGACTTGAACTCACCTTTCCTGAAACATCTCTGCTCGGAGCTGTCAGCAGTAGCAAGGTGATACAGTTGTACTACAGTGGATGAACGTATCCAGGAAGATTAGGAGGACCTATATTTAGCTGAGTGGTGAGCAGTATGGCATGACAGCCTCCTATAGCATCACCTTAAGGTGTTGGAGGAAGAAAATGTGAAAGGAAACATCTCGGCTGCCCTTAGGAGGCCATCTACAAAGGCAGCCAGGTCACGTTCTGATCAGGTGCTTCGTGCTGCGTGGAACAACGGCGATTGCAGGAACCAAACCGTCAGCCGTTCTTTGCCGGTCACCAGCCATATAGCGTGTATCATTTAAATGTTAAAAACTTTTTGTGAAGGTGCACGGTTTATGCTTTGTGGAACAGCACACGTTGAATGTGAAATACAAAGACTATGACGGCATTTTTTCATGCAGCTTGATCCCATTTGTTTTCAAGATTCAAGGTTCAAGAAATGCATTGTCACCTGATCGAGGTCTACACTTTTTTGTTTGTTTCAGATGCTAAGTCTATTTGGTATAAAAACCATGAGGAAGGATTCCGCTCCCTCGCCAGAGTTTTAACAGCTGGTGTCGATCTTCTTGTCTATTTAACCGCTCTAGCCGGTTTCTTCAGTGCCAGGAACCGCGGTTCTCATGTCCTTTTACCGAACGTGCTGAATGGTTTGCGGTGCTCATCGCTTTTCATTTCTAGGTCCTTGTCCACCACCGTTTTCGCTTTTAGCAGTCGTATGTGTTTCTTTCAATGTCGCAATGTATCCGCGCAAGAATGTTTCACACATCTCCTGACGTACTGGTACAAGGAACAAGGTAAAAAGAGCTGAATTTTGATAGACAGCTGTTTGATGTTTTATCAAAATCACTGGGCCAAGGCGGGTGGGTTTGAGAATAATAATAATAATACAGCAGTTTTAGTCAGTTTGAGGCAAGCTGTCACATTGAATCTCTGTTTGAATGTCCCATGTGTTACAGTACACGAAAGTTAAATGACTGAAAATTATTTTCATTTCGAGTTGGACTCCCCCCCCCTTCCCACCCTACACAATGTTTGCGTTGAACATTTCGCTTTCTGTTCTGTCTGGACATATTTTTTTAATGCAAGGGGTAGTCATTGGTTATTCTAACACTATTAGAATAATCTTCATTGTTTGTTTAGTTATATTTTTAGTTAAAACCATATCTTTGTTACTATTTAACTTTTTTGTGCGGTTTTCTATATTTATACATTCATATTACGGAGGGTTATGGTTCAGTGGAGAAATTCGCAATTTCCATTACGCCGTTCAGCTCAGAATTCATAATCTTGCCAGCAGTTTTAATTAAATTTATTATGCATAATTAAATAGACTAAAATCATTTCTAAGCTCATTTGTTTCTTCTGTTGTTCCTACTCTCTTGTAACAACTAGTATGATGTCATGTGAAAAAAACAATCACAATCACTTGTTTGTTATAACGGTTGTCGCAATACTGTTTACTCCGTCCATCCATCTTCTAACCATTTATACTGATCGAGCCCAGGAGCCTATCCCAAGGAGTTGTTTAACGCACTGGATGGGATCACAGCTCATCAAAGGAAACATATATGAATCAGAACCAGAATCTTTACTGCCACACGACCAAGGCCGGTGGATTTTTTTGTTGGCACGGTTTGCTGCTGTTGGAGACCCCATGACGATAGACGACTAACAATTAGGGCATAACGCGGACAGACAATACAAGGTACGCGACAGAGACGAATAAATGCAAAGAATGCAATGAATATAGTAGTTTGTGCACTTGATGTGCAATCATCAGCCACTAATTAGCCTAACAGCATGTTTTGGAGGGTGGGAGGAATCCTGCATGACAAACGGGGCACGTGCCAACTCCAAAGTCAGAGGGCCAAGGCTGATGCAGATGCGGTTTGATGCAGATCCACGATGGACAATCTATTCCGCTAGTGATAAAACTAATTTGAATAATTTAAGTTGATATTACATGTATGCATATCTGTTCGAGATATGAAACTTTAATGATCTCATTCCATTAGAACCTGGAAATAGCATTTATCATGGCTGAGAATCATAAGCAAATGTTACTTGGTAATGCTTAAAACGCTACAGTATCTTTTCAGGTTCCACTGAAAATTAGAAAGCACATAAAACTGCAATATGCAACTATGAATACAAATATAAAATGTATTTTTGGCGTAGAATGATGCTGTTCTTTCGTGCATCCAAAAAATAAATCGCTAGGTATTGCTTGGTCAGGCATAGCATCTTTTGTTTTTTAATAAGTACACAGCTTTTTATCTATTCTGTGCCACCATCGGGACTAATGAACCAGATGTTTTGCATAATGTACAAAGCCTTTAACTGACTGCTTGATCGCTATAGTGTTCATTGTCCGTTACCGTTAGTCGTCTTGCTTGTGAAGAGACAATATGCTGTTTTGAGCAACAGCGGTTATTATGGACAGAGATCTCAGCCATTACTCCCTACGATCTTGAGTATTCGCAGTTATGTTCTTGGCCATGGGGTGGCACTGTGGCTTAACATTTTCAGGGTCTTCGGTTTGAGTTCAGCCTGTCTGATTTCGGTCGGTTCTGTCCCTGGGTTTGGTTAGATTTCCTTACAGTGTTTCCCATCCCGGTCCTGCTTTGTACTGGGTGTCCTGGCTTAGTGAGCCAGATGGATTATTGGTTATGAAAATGAATAGCTCAGGGCGAGTGGTAGCATGAGGGAGGGTTTGGTTTTGGGTCTGGTGACCAGTGATTAAACTGGGCTTCAACTAACCGTTTAATGGCTCTGATTGCACACATGAGGTGGCTGTAACTTCCAGTGAGCTGGTCCTGGCCGCCCTTCCACCTCCCAGTTTCCAAGCCAAAATGGTGAGAGATGTCTAGCACTGGTACTGATGTCTGTTCCTATGCGTCACGCTTTAATAACAGTCACTGAATTTAAACACATTCGCCTTTGAGCAAACACGGTCCCAGCAGCGCCAGTCGCCTGATGAGCGTTTGCCTGAGGACTGATTTGCTTTTGCCCATTATATTACCTATATATTGACATGCCAGCCAGATCCCGTCTGTGGCTCTGGGTTCAGATGCTGTTCCTGTCATCAGATGGTTGCTGGTTCAAATGCTGTAGTCTCCTGCGTGATGTTGCCTTCAGGTCCTTAACTATTAGTTATTCCAGGAACTGGCTCATTTGTCTTTCTCAATTGCATTTTGCTTTAGGTAAATCTGAAAAAGTATTTATGAAAAATGTAAATCAAATACAAGAATCAGGGCCATAAGAATGTATTCAAAGGAATGGTGAGCTGTGCACATACAGCCAGTGGCTGAGGTTCATCATGGTCAGTGACATTGTGCCTGAGTTTCTTTCGCTCCTAATTGTTTCCACTTTGCAATAATACCACTTACAGTTGACCGTGGAATATCTAGCAGGGATTCAATTTCACAAACTGACTGCCAAGGTGGCATCCTATGACAGCACCACGCTTGAATTCACTGAGCTCTTCAGAATGACCCATTCTGTCACATGTTTGTAAACCTGACTGCATGGCCACGCGCTTGATTTTATACACCTGCGGCAATGGGTCTGAATGAAACACCTGAATTCAGTGATTAAGTGGTGGGTCCCAGTCCACACACACAGACACACACACACACACACACACACACACACACACTGTATATACATGCAAACACATATACATATATACACTCACAGTACTGTGCAGAAGTCTTAGGCAGTCAACGGAAATGATATTTAAATGATCTTCATGTTGATATAAAACTGTGACATTTTGTCTGTCAGCTTAACCATCTGAATTCCTCTCCTAAAGTCACTACAGTATTTGCAGCGACTGTATTTTTTGACTTGTGACCACTAACACATCCTATGGCTAATCAACACCTCATTGACTTTTGTTAACTAATTAGATTAATGAATTAAGTGAGCTTGTGGTGATATTTAATTAATATATGGAATGGCTGGGGTGCCCATGTATAGAGGTTTGGAAACTGAAGAGGTGTCCATCCAGCCATCCAGCAAGACATCAGTTAGCTTTTGTAGAACAGAAGAAATTCCTGGTAGTTTTTGTATTGTTATTCTTAATTTGCATATGTTGTGATGTTAAATTGTGTTCTGTTTTGAGCACCTACATAGCAAGATGAGTCTCATCCAGATCCAGCTTCAGAAATTGGATCTGACCCGGTATCCGTTTGCACAATGGCCCAAAAGCTGGCCCATATTTGCACCAGAGTCACAAGTTAAAATCAGAGCTGGTCCAACTGGGGGCAGTGAGTGGTTCAGTGAGCTAAGTCTCTGTGCTGGTCATCTGAAGGTTGTTGGTTCAAGCCTCAGCCAAGGGCTTTGCACATTTGCTAACACTGCACTGCAACCCCCAAGCTATGAAGAATAAGATGGGATCAGTGAAGAGAAGCATTTCAATGTACCTGTGCAAATAAAGCATGTGTGTGTGTTTAATTGTATCTCAGTCTCATTTCCTTCCTGACTGCTGACTTACTGCTCCAGAACCCTGTCCTGCCATATATGGGTGCTGAGTGGCTCAACTGGCTGAGTCTCTGTGCATGTAAGCAGAAGGTTGCTGGTTTGAGTCCTGGCCCCAGTAGAATGGTTATGTGTGTGTATGTGCCCTGAAGCAAGGCCTTTAACCAACCAGCTGGTGTTGGTTGACTCTGTGCATTGATGCCCAAGGTATATAGTGAAAGAAGGTAAAGAGTGTAGCTGTGCAGACAAAAGTTTTAATTCTGCTTCAGTCTCTTACTAAGGGCACTGAAGCACACCTTAATAAAGTCTTTTATATGCATTAGTACAGCCACACTGGAACACATTGCTTCATCTTGGGCATCAGTAAGCACCCCCAGAGCTGGGGGTTAAAGGCCTTGCTCGAGGGCCCTCCAACACACAAGCATTCCACTGGGGCCAGGGCTCGAACCAGCAGCCTTCGGCTTACAAGCACAGAGACTCAGCCTTCAGAGGCACTCACCACCCACATACACAGAGGAAGAATCCTGGAACAGAACTGGATGGCAGTCAGTCTGGGAAAAAAGACTCTATGGTACATTTAACAAACATGTTTTATTTGCATAAGTACAGGTACATCATAGTGCATTTAATCACTGACTCCTCCTTACCTGTGCAGAGGCTGGGGCTTGAACTAACAACCATCAAATCATTAGTACAGCAACTCAGTCCTCGGAGCCACTCACT